CCACTGCATCAGTCTATTCAAATCTTCCTGGAGTGCTCGAATGTCCTCGTCAGAATGAATTCGACGGCCTATTTTGGTGTCATCGGCAAACTTGCCGATGTCGCTCTTATGCCCTCATCTATGTCGTTTATGTAGATTGTGAACAGCAGGGGGCCCAACACTGACCCCTGTGGAACACCGCTCGTGACACTTCCCCACTCTGATTTCTCCCCATTTATGCAAACTCTCTGCTGCCTATTTGTCAACCATGCCTCTATCCAGGAAAAAATTTCTCCTCCTATTCCATGTGCTTTAATTTTCCTCAATAGTCTCTGATGTGGGACCCTGTCAAAAGCCTTACTGAAGTCCATATACACAATATCAATTCATTACCATGATCTACCTCCTCAAATACCTTAGTGAAAAAAGTTAATAAATTCGTAAGGCAAGGAACGCCCCTTTGTAAACCATGCTGAGATTCGTTGATTAATTTATGCTTTTCAAGGTGGCTACGAACTGCCTCGGCAATTATTGATTCCATAAATTTTCCCATATGTAGGTTAGGCTTATTGGTCTATAGTTCGAAGCTAAGGACCTGTCACCTGTTTTGAAAATAGGTATCACATTTGCCATTTTCCACTTATTCTGGCACCATGCCAGTTTGTAGTGATATGTTGAAAAGATTAGCCAAAGGTGTGCTAAGCTCCTCTTTACATTCCTTTAGAACCCTTGCATACAGTTTCATCAGGGCCTGGGGATTTGTTAGGTTTTAATTTATCTATTTGCCTAAGGACCATGTCACTTGTGACCCTAATAGTACACAGTTTATTATCGTCCTGTTCTACATAATTTATCATTACTGGAATATCGCTGGTATCCTCCTGTGTAAAAACTGAGAGGAAGTATGTGTTAAAAATTCTACACATTTCCTTATCACTGTCAGTGAGCTGACCCGAGGAACTTTTGAGTGGGCCTATCTTGTCCCTGATCTTACTTCTGTATACCTGAAAGAATCCTTTTGGGTTAGTCTTCGATTCTCTTGCAACTTTAACCTCATAATCTCTTTTTGCTTTTCTAATTCCCTTTTTTATTTCTCTCTTTAACTGAATATATCGATTTCTCAATTGCCCCTCTCCTCTTTTGATTTGCCTATATATGCCTCTTTTGACCAATCAGATATTTTAATCTATTGTTCATCCATTTAGGATCATTTTTGTTTGATCTGATTTCCCTATTTGGAACATAATTTGACTGAGCAGCTAGAACTATGCCCTGGAAAGCATCATATCGGCAACCATCACCACCAAACCTGACCCTTAGTCAGGTCATTCCAGTTCAGCCCACCTAAGTAATTTTTCAGTCCTATGAAATCAGCCAAGCGAAAGTCAGGGACGGAGACTTGATTGCCATTATTAGGGGAATTCCATGATATATTAAAACTGAGTGATTTGTGATCACTTTCCCCAAGCTCATCATTAACCTCAAGATTATTAATTAGTGTTTCCCTACTGGCAAGAACCAAGTCAAGGAGGTTATTTCCCCTAGTTGGCTCTGTCACAAACTGTTTTAAAAAAAACAATCCTGGATCGTATCAAGAAAGTCACCTGACTCTAAATTTCCTGTCAAATTGCTCCAGTCAATCTGTCTATAGTTGAAATCTCCCATTAGCACAACATTTTCGTATGTAGATGCCTTACGAATTTCGTCCCATAGAAGTTTACTGCACTCCCTATCAAGATTTGGGGCCCTGTAAATCACACCCAAAATTAGTTTTTCTCGGCCCTCGAGAAGCTGTAACCAAACAGATTCAGTGGCTGACGCTTCTAATTTAATATCTTGTCTAACACAACAATTTAACTTGTCTCTGACATACATCGCTACTCCACCACCTTTCCTGTTGACCCTGTCAGTGTGGAATAATTTATAGCCTTGTATGTGACATTCAGAGGGCATCTCTCTATCTTTCAGATTGAGCCAGGTCTCTGTTATAGCAATAATATCTATGTCTCCTGCACTTGCAATTAATCTTAGCTCATCTATCTTATTTCTTACACTCCTGCTATTAGTATAGTAAACCTTAAGGGAGCTAGTCCCTTGCTGCCCTCTGATGTCCCCCTTTGTTTGCTGACCTGATCTATTGTCTTTATTTATAACTTCATGCTGAATGCCTTTTATACATTTACTGTTTCCAACCCAAGTGTTGCAACCTGCTTGTTTCCCACACACACCCATACCTCTATCTTCCATCAGTTTAAAATCATAGGCATTTCACCAATGGCCTTCTCAATCGAGTCTGCAAGTGCTACCACCCCAGCCCCAGAGAGATGTACCCCATCCCTTGCATACATTCATGTTTGCCATAAAAGTTGTTCCAGTTGTCAATGAATGGGATTGCATGTTCCTTGCAGTATCTGTCTAGCCAGCAATTTACACCAATTGCCCTAGACAACCATTCATTTCCTACTCCCCTTCTAGGCAAGATGCTACATATGATTGGGATCCCTCCCTTAGACTTAATGAAATCTATAGCTGACCTGTACTTATCTAGCAGCTCTTCTCTCTACCCTTCCCAATATCATTTCCACCAGCACTGAGACAGATAATGGGCTTGCTCCCATTACCTGACATGATATTATCCAGCCTGTTGACAATGTCCCCAACACCAGCTCCAGGGAAGCACACTCTATCTCTCATCTTCTTATTCCTATTACAAAAAGCACGGTCAATGTATCTTACCTGAGAGTCACCAACCACAAGAATGGCGCTTACCTCCATTAGCAGGGGCAGTAGTACCCTTACCTTCACTGGCCACTGAAGTACATTCATCCTGAAGAACAGAGAAGCGATTTCCTACCTTCAGATCTTCACTCTTAACTTTCCTTACTCTGATGCGCCTTCCATTACTGTGAACTACTCGCCACTTGTAGCAGGTGCTGGGCTGCACCTCACTGCTGGTAGCCGTTGCTGCCACCCCAACTACAGCCTCCTCACAGCGAGAGACAGACTGCACCTCGCTGCTAGAAGCCTCATTCCCCACAACTCCAGCCACCTCACACTCTCTCCCAGACCCATTGAGGTGGACCTTCAGCCTCCTAATCTCCTCCTGGAGAAGCAAGACCTCCTCCTTCAACTCTCCAACCCCAATTTTTAAAACACTGCAGAAGCAAGCCATGCTTTGTAACCGTCCACACTAATCCCCAAGGCAGCTCAGGGTCTGTGACCTCACGTGATGACTGACCATGTAGTACATAAACATTATTAGGTAGTTGAAATCAGTAAATGGGCAGTTTCTTGTACTCAATCGATAGAAACAATGGAGTTCTAAAGAAATAGCTATGAGTTTGGGTGACTGGAACAATGGAATTAGCCGAAAATAGGGCTCAAAGTGGGCGAAATCGCCGATTTGTAAACAGCGCCGAGGTCACTAACTTCGCGAGAGCATAATTCCGTCAGTTTTCCATCAAATTTCATTTTTTTTGGCGTCATTACAATCGGGAAAAGATTCTCTATCATTTCATAAGAAAAAATAATTTTTTTTGTATTTTTAAATTTTGCGACACCAGGAGACGCCTCAGGATTGGGGGCTTGCGACAGTCAAAGGGTTAATTACGAAAAACGAGGGACCACTGTACATTTCATCACTAAGCCTATGAGAAATTACCACAACACTAATGCCAAGAATAGTTGTATCTACTTTTTTCTTAACATTTCCCACCAAGGTAATGTGACTCAAGAATAGGAAACACATTCAGCATCATTCAGTGAATAGGTGTCTTGCCATAAGTATAGAGATTGTCATCAATTCAAATGACCGTATGAATTGAAACATTGCCATTCCTGGAGTGCAGACACTAATACTCACCTCCAGGAATTAAGTCTAATTTTTTGACTAAATCCCTTCATATTACCTTGCTTAAACTCCTACAGCACATCAAGCCAGAAAAACCACATTCCTCCACTCTGATCTAACTTGCTCACACAAGCCTGTTGGATACTCAAGCCCTCACCACTTAAAATCTCCTTTATTCCCACAATCCAATCCATTCTAAGATGACCCCTACCCTCTTTCCTCTTCCCCTATTCTGCTCCAACCACTGTAAATGCCTACACTACCTCAATAACCCTTCAGCCCTGTGAATTATACCTTAGGTAACCCCATACCGTCTCTCCTAATTTTTATGCTCCAAATTCTCTGTATGACATTCACATCACATGCTCTCCAGCATGTTATCTACACTGCCTCCAGTCTCCTCCTCCTTGTCTCTATAACATTTAATATGATGTAAACAGTTTAGAAAACCAACAAGTTGAAGAATTAGACATGTTGCAACATTTGGAAATCCTTATTGTAGGAACATTTTGCCAACAAGTGGCTTCCTCAGTCCAGTACTTAGATGAATGGAGGAAGATGAAAAGGAGTTTGAGGTAATCTGTCTCTCAACCTTGAGTCAATGTGTTCAGTCCATCAATCTTGAGATTGATGGACTGCTGCAGTGCTGCTCTTATATTTAGCCAGCAACAGTTACACACGAGTGGAATGCATGATTCTGGGCAGACCTGCCTAGCATGGGTACTTTATTTTGCATTCTTCACCCCGTCAAAAGTATTACCCATGAATAAGTTACCAGATTATTTATTTAATTCATGTTAAGCGCTAGACCCATGTGGGTCATTCAGCGCAAGACGTAATAGAGGCTCAATCCTCCGTTTGCTGAGCGCCAGACAGATGTGCTCCCTATTTGTACTCACCTACATCTTAATTATTTTCTGACCAAGAAAACTGATCTGAGAACACAGAGTACAATAGTAAAATATTAAAAAATTGGTTTGTCAAGTTTGGAGATGCCTGAAACATAACCCTATTTCCCACTATAAGAGGATTCCCTATTTTAGAATGAAAGAAAATTATTTGAAATTTTTAACATGAAATTATCATTTTAATTTTCTTTTTTAAATAGGAAAAAAAATAATTTTGAATTCTTGAAAGGGGGCAACAAACATACAAAAAGCATATGACTTACTGTGGTGACATAGTTCCTTTCAAGTACTTTCTTTCTCCAAGTAGAAAATGCACTTTGTGCCAAACGATGACTACGTGTCCTTCCTGCAATCTTCGCAAGATGTCTCTGCACAATCAGAACTGACATTAGTATACACAATACACAAATAACGCACACATAGGAGAGAAAAGCTTACGACAACATTTAGGTAAACTTGGACCATTTACAAAGTCAAATGTCAAATCAAAACTGACATTAGTATTGCTTTGAATTCAATGTTAAATCAAAACAATACACTAAAAAAATAATTACTGAACAGCAGAAATGAAAAACTAGCAACTTTACTTTTACAACATATATAATTTATATAATACAACATATAGAGGGGAAGGGGATGTGTAGATCAAGTGTTTACATTGAAGCATATATGTGAACAGTATTTAGATAAAGGTAGGGAAGTTTTTATTGCATTTGTGGATTTAGAAAAGACATATGATAGAGTGGATAGAGGAGCAATGTGGTAGATGTTGCAAGTATATGGAATAGGTGGTAATTTACTAAATGCTGTAAAGAGCTTTTATAAGAATAGTGAGGCTCAGGTTAGGGTGTGTAGAAGAGAGGGAGAATACTTCCCGGTAAAAGTAGGTCTTAGACAGGGATGTGTAATGTCGCCATGGTTGTTTAATATATTAATAGATGGGGTTGTAAAAGAAGTAAATTCTAGGGTGTTGGGGAGAGAGGTGGGATTAAATTATGGGGAATCAAATACAAAATGGGAGTTGACACAGTTTTCTTTTTTATTATTTTTGCTGATACTGTGCTACTGTGAGTCCAAAGAAAAGTTGCAAAGGTTAGTGGATGAGTTTGGGAGGGTATGTAAAGGTAGAAAGTTGGAAGTGAACAAAGGCAACAGTAAGGTGATGAGGGTATCAAACAACTTAGATAACGAAAAATTGGATATCACATTGGAGAGAGGGAGTATGGAAGAAATGAATGTGTTCAGATATTTGGGAGTTGACTTGTCAGCAGATGGGTTTATGAAGGATAAGGTTAACCATAGAACTGACAAAGGAAAAAAGGCGAGTGGTGTTTTGAGACAAAAAATGTTATCCATGGAGGCAGAGAAGGGAATGTACAAGAGTATAGTGGTACCAACGCTTTTATATGGGTATGAAGCATGGGTTGTAAATGCTGCAGCAAGGAGGAGGCTGGAGACAGTGGAGATGTCAAGTCTAAGGGTAATGTGTGGTGTAAATATTATGCAGAGAATTTGTAGTGAGGAAATTAGTAGTAGGTGTGAGTTACAGTTACTAAAAGTATTAAAAAGTATTAGTCAGAGGGCTGAAGAGGGGTTGTTGAGGCAGTTTGATCATTTAGAGAGGATGGAACAAAGCAAAATGACTAGGTGAGGGGAATATGTCATCCTAGGAAAGGTTGGAGGGAAGAGGTAAAGGTTTTGTGGGTGAGGGGATGGACTCTCAGCAAGATTGCATGAGTGTTTTAGACAGGAGTAAATAGATGAATGGTTTTGGGGCCTGACAAGCTGTTGGAGTGTGAGCGGGGTAATATTTTGTGAAGGGAGTCATGGAAACCAATTAGCTGGACTTGAGTCCTGGAAGTGGAAAGTACAATGCCTGAACTTTTACCCTTTCAGGGTCCGTGCCGTAGATCTACAGCCATATGCTGAGGTCCAAACAGTAGATCTACACCAAAATTCTAGCGGTGTCAAATTTAGCGCGAGAAGGCTGGTAGGCCTACACCTAAGAGAATGGGTCTGTGTGGTGTGTGTGGGCGTCGTAAACAAAAATTCTAGGCGTCCGCATAGCATTGTGGGAATGCCACCTCAGTAACCTTTGTTCACCCTTCCTCGCTTCAAGGTAATTCTCACTCCAAGGCGAATTGGGATTCTACTCTTTGTAACTGATAGTTTTGACTCTGATGGAAGTGGAAAAGAAGAATTCCATGGCTTTGATCGATTAGTGACCGAAAGCAATGACCAGGATATCGAAAATAGTGCAGAAAATCCTGACAATCCTCAACCTTCTACCTCTGGTGTGGGCACATCTCAGTCATGCTCAGTTGTACCTCGTCGCAAGAGAAAACTAATATTTTCACGTGGCCAGGCCTCAGACTTCAGTAATGATGATGATAGTGATGTGGACTGTGATTTTATTGCTCTTGATGATCATTCGAGTAGTGATAGTGAGGAATCGTATTCACCAGTGAAGCGTCGATATATATGCCACAGCATGCGCTCGGGTAGTGTTCCCTATGCAGTGCCCAGGGGACAGAGTACATCCTGGAGTACATCCCATGGCCCTACACCAGGAATAGACAGTGAAAGTGAGGATGATGTGGCTACACTTGGCATGGATAGACCACAGGCATCAGTAGGTGGTGGTATTGCTATGCAAAACCGTCCTCGAACTCCTCAGGAAATACTCAAGCATTTGAGGAGGGAAGGTGATCACTTCATAATACAGCTTCCTGCACTAAGAAGAAATTTGCTCAGAAGAGATGTGTTGTCTGTGCACAAACAAAACGACGGCAGCAAAGACGCAATGACACTCGGTTTATGTGCGAGGAATGTAAGGTACCTCTGTGCATGGTACCTTGTTTCAAGGACTTCCACGGGCTGCAGCAGTTCTAGAAACATGTTCAGTGACTGTACATATGTAAATATATAATAGAACATTAGTATCATACAGCATTTGTGCATGTTTATTGTAGTAAACAATACTGGTAAACAATATTATAATAATAACTTTAGTGCAGTTATTCTGTTCAATACAGTGAGTGTACATATATACATTATATACAGTATTGGTGTCACCGGCCACAGATGTTACTAGAAAAAAAAGAAAAAAATTAGAAAAGAAAAACGTATAAAAAACGTAAAATAAAGAAATGCGATTTTGCGGAAGTCGCTGATGTTGCCACCACCTGGTCATTTTGGGTCAACTTCCCACCTCCATATCTCAGTAAGTACTGATCAGATTTTTTTTTAATACCTTCACAAAAATATTATCTTTAATTTTGTAAGAAAAAAGTCTTTTTTTTTTTTTTTTTTTTCAAAATTTCTTGGACACTGGGCCACCCCTGCAGATTTTGCCTTTGGACCCTGAAAGGGTTAACATAATATATGACATTTAGTTTGCCCAAGAGATTACATGTACAGTGGTACCCTGAGTTTTGTACTGCTCCCAACTCAAACAATTATGTAAGTGTATTATTGTAAGTGCTTTTCTAAGTGTATTTTTGTGGGTCTGAAACGGACTAATCTATTTTACATTATTTCTTACAGGAACAAATTCATTTGGTAACAGCAGAAGGAGAAGTCAGTGTTTATTCACAGGCTTCAGGAGAGTAAGGGAAGGACACACAATGAAAGGCAGCACGAAGAAAAACAAGATTGAAAACATCATGAAAGAAATAGGCAATGAGGACATGACTGAGATAGTAAATATTCAGAGAATAGAGGGGTACTTGAAGAGGAGAAATTGGCTGGTCCAGCTGATTTTCAAAACAGAAACAGTGCGAAACAGGATCCTGCAAGAGAAACCATGGCTGAAGGAATCGTCAAGATACAAGAGGGTGTTCCTAGACCAAGACGGAACAAAAACAGAATGACAACAGCTGAGGGAGAGGACACAAAAGTGAAAGGGGCTAGGAAGAGAGAACAGGACAGAATCAGCAGAGGACAGCCAAAGAAGGGCACAGCAACAAGCACAAGCACACACAGAATCACCCCCAGAACCCCCCAACCAATCACACTATCCCAACACAAACCACAATCCACACCTACAGCCCCCACCCCACACTATGCTGCAGAATCCCACAGCACACTGCCAGGTCCCCCACCCTCACAGACCTCCCAGAACACAGTGTTGGAGAGGAACCTGAAGGTATGGTACACCAATGCTAATGGAATAACTAATAAGTGGGAGGAGTGGCACGAAAGAGTCAAAGAGGCATCACCGGACATCACAGCTCTCACAGAAACCAAGCTCACAGGAATGATAACTGATGCCATCTTTCCAACGAGATATCAGATCCTGAGGAAAGACAGAGGAACAGACGAGGGTGAAGGAGTGGCACTGCTCGTCAAAAAAAAAAAAATGGGATTGTGATAAGCTGGAGAGAGGAGACAGAGGAGAAGCAGATTACATAATAGGAATGCTTCAGTGTGGAGGTCTCAAGGAGGTAATTGCAGTGATGTATAACCCACCACAGGACCCCAAGGCAAGAGTATGATGAGAGTAATAAAGCGATGGTTGACATACTGGCTGAAGTGGCGAAAAGGGCTCATGCCATCAGGGCAAAGCTGCTGATTATGGGTGGCTTCAACCACAAAGAAATCGACTGAGAGAACCTGAAGCCATAAGGGGGCCCAGAAATGTGGAGGGCTAAGATGATGGAGGTGGTACTAGAAAACCTCATGTACCAACACATAAGGGACACTACCAGAGAGAGAGAGAGGAGAAGATGAACCAGCAAGACTGGACCTAGTACTCACCTTGAGAAGTGCAAATACTGAGGACATTGCATTTGAAAGACCCCACGGGGCCAGTGATCACATGGTTCTGAGCTTCAAATACATAGTAGAGATACAAATGGAGAGGGAAGCAGGAAGGGATGGACAAGTGAAGCCAAATTACAAGAAAGAGGACTACACAGGCAGGAAAAAATTCCAGCACAGGGTTCAGTGGGACAGAGAACTGGCAGAGAAGTCAGTAAAAGAGATGGTGGAATATGTGACAACAATAAGGAAGGAAGCTGAGGAGAGGTTAGTATCCAAGGGTAACAGAAACAACAAGAAAGCCAGGATGAGCCCTTGGTTTACCCAAAGGTGTAGGGAGGCCAAAACCAAGTGCTTGAAAATGGAAGAAATATAGAAGGCAAAGAACCCAGGAGAATAAGGAGAGCAGTCATAGAGCCAGAAATGAATATGCACAGGTAAGAAGGGAGGCCCAATGACAATACGAGAATGACATAGCAGCAAAAGCCAAATCTGACCCAAAGCTGTTGTACAGTCACATCAGGAGGAAAACCAGTTAATCAGGCTGAGGAAAGGAGGGGAGGTCAAAAGAAATGACCGCAAAGTACATGAGGAACACAACATGAGG